GTCTTTAGCAGTGACTGGAGCAGGCAATGTGGTGCACTCTTACTGTGTTTGCAGGTGACACAAGAATGGGGGGTGACCAGGCGATGGCTTGAGGGAAGGGCTGGTATGCAGGCATTCCTAGAAAGCAGGAGGAGTGCTGTGTCAAGAAGATGAAGATGTTCAGCAGGGACAAATGCCAAGTCTTGCACCTGGGAAGGAACTGCTCCTGGCAGGAGCATAAGCTGAGAACAGAGGGGCTTGGGGGAGCAGCTCTGCAGGAAAGACCCTGAGGCTGCCAGCAGACAACGGCTCCCTGACACGGAATGGAGTTGGTCAAAGCACCCTGGGCTGTATCACCAGGCACAAAGCCAGTAGATGAAGGCAAGAAATTATCCTCCCTGATTATTCAGCACCCATTGCATTACATCAAATTACATTGCATCCAGTTTTAGGTTCCTGATAAAGGAACGTTGCTGATAAATTGGAACGAGTTCAGCAAAAACCGTCATGATGGCCACTTGCCCTTCTAGGAGAGTCAGCTGGAATTGACCTTTCTTACTTTTGAGAAGGGGTGGACTCCCAGTGCCTGTGGGGTTATAGACCAGAAGATGGAGTTGGACTCTGAACAGTGACTAAATTTGAAATGGGAGTGATTCAGATTAGATACGTGTAGAAGCTTTTCTCCATTACTGGGTGATGGAGAGGTTATGTGGTCGTTTGTCCTCAGAGATTTTCAGTTTCTGAGTACCGGGGACTGACCTCACAGCTGAGCCCATTTTGAAGTATAGTTTCTTCAAGGGACCTCCTGAGGCCCCTTACAGCCTGAATTACTCTCTTGCCATGATTTTTTGGTTGAATTTCCAGATTCCAACTCCAGCTGGAAAGAATGCTGTCAGCATTTTGGTGGCAGTAGAGGGAGAACTTTCTGCTTTCTATTTACTCCTCCTCCCTGAAGATAGTCTTCAATGTTTAAACTAATCTCTCTAACTCTGTTGCAGTACAGAAGGCGAGCACATGGGAGGTTGTTTTGATTTAGTTGAGGAAGAGTAGAGTATGTGAGGAATTGACCTTGTTTTGCTAGCTGATGATTAACTGTACAGTTGTTGGAGCTGCATTTAAACCTTTAAATGTCTTTCAGGACTTTTAAAAAGTTATTTTTAAATATTTTTTTATTAAATAGGAGTATTGCATTTCTAGGGACTTGGCCTCAGTTTATTTTCATTTTATTTGCAGAAACAAGCTATTCTTCCTCATTGCAAGCTTGACTCATCACACAACTATAGACAAAGATACTGTACACAAAGTTTAGGTGGCATGGACAGTTTTCTTCTTAGGCTCACTAACACCATCATTTTCTAACAGCAAATCCCACAAATTAAATGGAAGAGGAAAAAAAGATTTATTTATTATTTTTAAAACATGTTCATCATGTTTAAAAGTGGTAGTGCATATGTAAAATGGGTGAAGGTTACAGTTTCTTTCCAGTATCCATTGCTTAACTGAGTCACAGTTAAGTCTCATTTACATCAGATGGTAAAGGGAAAGTTGCAGCTCTCTCCCTGAAAGAATCACCAGATCACTCTAGTTTTCAGGATCACAGTAATTATTTACCACTGATGATTAGAAAACCCACATATAATAAATAGACCACAAGTTTTAGAAGCTCACTGGAGATGCCTGCTTTTTCTCACTAGGATTTTTCTTTTAAATAAGGAAATATTTTTTGTAAACCGGGAAAGGTACTACAAAACAGCATTGTCTTACATTTTGCCCAAGGCCTAACAGGGAGTGTGTAATTTTCAAACCGTGATTGTATGTATGAAGTATTCATTTTTTGGAGTCATACCTAAAAGTTTCAAAATTATATTTAGCTGAGCAATTTTTAAATTGATTTTTTTTTGTCTCTCTAATCATGGAACAATGAGGTCTGTGTATATCATCACCATAATCTTGCATAAAAGTATTTGCTCACTCTGAGTTATTGCTTTTCTTCTTTTCCTGAGTGCTTAGCTTGGTGCTACTTGATGATTTCCTGTAGGCACCTTCTATTTCACTCCTTTCCATAGAAATAATAGAATAGAATCCTTGTATGGCAAATGAAATTCACATGTGAAATTCAATCAAGTCAAAGACGTGAAGAGATCTCTAAAAGTTCTGCAAGGTTGTTACCACTTTCCTTCTAATGGGTATTAAGGCCTGATCATTGCAAAAACCTGCTTCAGAAGCAGCTCTCTGGAGGTTTCTTCAGATACAGAATTCTTTGTGTTGCCATCAAGCAAATTTAGCTTCCTCCCTTTTTTATGCTGTCCAGTTTCCTTTCCTGGTACAGGTTTGTGTTATTGCTGGGACAAACTATCACTTATTTTACTAAATCCTATGGTTAACATTGGTTTTATATTTTAATGCTGAAGCAGAAAATTAAAATTTTCCTGATGGTAAATTCTGTTGAGTGAATGGAACTGTTCTGTGTCTGGCCATGGTTTGTTCTACTTCTTACTGAGCTTGTCAGATTATGCTGTGTAAAACATCTGTTTTATTTCTAAAAATACAACAGAAAAAGTTACATTTTTTCATGTTTAGGTTCAGAGTATTTTGAGAGATGGATCTAGGAGACATTTGGTTTCAACTTCAGGCTCTTGGATCAACAATGTCTTATGTAAGATTAGTGAAATAAGTTTGCTTAAAGGTGGCGGGTTTTCTTCTTAATTTTTAAATTTAAATTCTTACTTGAGGAAGATAATGAGATGAGCATAGGTGTCTACAGTCATTTTCAACTAATATAATCTCTGGCTTCCTGTAACAACTTCAAAGTGGCCCATATTGTCCTGTGTTTCATGCCTTATCTGCAGTCAGATATGTTTTTGATATGTTGACCAAACTTGTGTTTGGTTGCCCAAGTTAGCCCCAAACCCAAGGCATCTAGAACAAATATTAATGCTTGAACCTGACAATCAAAATGTAGCTTGTAATGGTCACTTACTGTAATAAACAGTTGTAGAAATTAATTGCTGGAAACACTGGTGTGGTATAACCCCAGCCAGCAACAGAACAGCCACACAGCTGTTGGCTCACTACCCCAGGTGGGATGGGGGGGAGAATTGGAATTAACAAAGCAAAACAAGGAATTAATTCACTGCTTCCCGTGGGCGGGCTGGTGTTCATCCATCCCCAGGACAGACAGGGTCTGCTACACACAGTGGTGCTTTGGGAAGACAAAACATCATCACTCTAAATGTCCTCACTCCCCTCTTCTGTCCCCCAGCTCTATATGCTGATCATGATGCCATGTGGTGTCCCTTTGGTCAGTTGGGGTCGGCTGTCCTGGTTGTGTCCCCTCCCAGCTCCTTCTGCCCCCCCAGCCTCCTCAGTGATTATGAGGAACAGAAAAGGCCTTGGCTCTGGGTAAGCTCTGCTCAGCAATAACAAAAACATCCCTGTGTTATCAGCACTGTTCCCTGCATAAATCCAAAACACAGCCCTAAACTAGCCACTGTGAAGAAAATTAACTCTATCCCTGTCAAAACCAGCACATACATAAACCTTTTAACAGGAATTTCTAATTTTTTAATTAATTATTTGCCTAATTAAAAAAAAAAATCTTGCCTTGGCATAGATTTCTTTTCAAGATTTGTTCCCTGTCAGTATTATAGGTGCCAAAATAATTCTGAATTGAGTTATGACTTGAACCTGTGCATGTCAGGTGAGGCTCTGGGTTGTCAGGTGAGATGGGTGAAATTCTTGTTTCCATGTTTTGTTTTCTTGCTCTCTTTCTCCACAAAACATGCCAAAACAGGGAAGGGGATGGGGGTGTCTACAGCAAGATAGACTTAAAGTTGAATTTGGTTTGAAGAAGTTGGTTATATCAGGGTATGTTGTTATATCACTTTTGTGAAAAGAACTTTTAGAAGTGGAATGAACTACACACAGGCATGATTAAAAAAAGTAGTAGTGTTGCGTTTGGAGAGAACTGTGGTTGCTATGAGGATGCAGGCAGGCTTCAATTTGAAATAGTGTTTGTAGGTTGGTTGTAAAAATGGTTATTATTAGTAGAGCGGGCGAGGTCCTCTGTTGTAGGTAGTTACATGAAATACTATCTCATGATGAGGTTCTGTTGTTGAGTTTCTGAGAAATATTTTGTAAACTACACTTGGTTTTGCAATGATGGATAATTTACCAGGTAGAAAGTTAGCAAATCTTAGAGAAGTTGTTAAAGGGTCTGTATTTTTGCATCCATTATTCAGGAAAACTTTTTGCCCTTTTTGGCAAGCTAGAGAAAGTAAAGATTCAAGTTCCACATGTCCCAGAAATCCACTAGGAAGGCAGATTTCAGCCACGAAGATCCCAGGATAGCTCTTTTGGAGAGCCCGCCATTGTGTGACTGGGAACATTGCCTTTCAATTCAATATGTGACTCTTTCTAGTGTCTGCTTTTATTTCTTCCTTTCCTGCTTAAAATAGAAACAACTTTTTATCTTATTTAAATATGAAAATACACAGCATTTGTTGTCAGTATCTACGAAGGTTAACGTAATGGAAGACACTAGGCTTTTTCAGTTTTCTTAGACTGATTTTGCAGTCTTAGACTGCAATTTTGTTTAGTAAATTTCAGTTCACAGAAAGCGAGTCTGCTTTTCTCCAGGACTTCTCTAGAAGTTTTAGTAGTAGTAATATTGGCAAGATAAAGTCAAACCCAAAACGGGTCAGCAAGCAAGAGAAAAAAACACAGAGGAAAGAAGATGAAAAAAGAATGAGTAATGTTGACAGGATTGTTCTTAAACTGTGTGAAAGACATCAATGCGTAGTACAGAGGAGAGGAGCATGATTTTTTAAAGGGTTGAAGAAGTGTATAATTCAAAATACTTAACATTCTGTCAAGTTACATAAACTGTAGTCTTGTTAAAGTCATCTTTTCTTTGAAATACTAAAGGAGGTTGCTAAGGGGTGGGGGGGATGTCAAATGAAATGGTTGCAATGATGTTATGCAACAGAGTTAATTTCGACCTACGCTCTGCTTCTCTGCAGAAGAAGTTGAAGAAGAGTCTGAAACTACAATTGAGGTTGATTTGACTGATAAACAGAAACATCAATTGAAGCACAGAGAGCTTTTCCTTTCTCGCCAGTATGAGTCCCTACCAGCAACGCACATCAGGTAAGAAACAGTAAATACAATTTATCTGTGTGTTCCACTGGGTGGATTGCCTGCTGGTAGCCCATCTGCTGGACTGCTTCAGCCTTGCAAAAGGGTGTCACTGATCTTAGCTGAGTTGGGCCAGGTTGTCCCATGAACTGCTTTGGAAGCGCCTTTGTCTTTTCCTTCTGTTCCTCAATGTTTGAGCCCTAGAAGGGACAAGAGTCTCAGAATGTAGCTTGCCAGTTTGACAGCATCAGTTGATAATTTGGTGCAAAGTCAGTCTGTTACTACTTTGGAAGAGCTAATATTTTTTAGTTATTTTGCTGGCCAAAGGAACCTCGGCCATTTTGTCTGGCCTGGAAAACCGCAGTTGGGTTTGGAAAGGAGGCAGTGACTCATTGGCCAGATCTTCAGTCTAGGGCTGCAGGCATGTAAAATTAAAATTACCCCTGCTTCAGTAAATGCAAAGAAGTCATGTCTGAGTTTGGCTAAATGTTGCAGAAGCATTTCAGGTATTGTTTTAAAATGTAGGAAGAGGCTTTCTAAAGCTCAAAAAGTGTTTGTTGACTTCTTTAAGTGATGTCGGTGCTCATGTCATTTTCTATTTAGGAGTCAGGAAAACTTTTTATTGTATTGGGATGAGGGGATGATGAATCTAGAAAAGGAAAAGAAATAGCACAGTGACAGCAAGGAGTCAAATTTAGTGTGAAACAATGCATTCTTAAAGAATTCTTATTTTTTCATTACATCCTGCTTCCCCAAGCTATATGAGACCATAAATGTCTAGAAGCTACTGAAAAAAAGATATATATTGTTCAGCAGGATGAGCACGTTGTATGTGCATATTTATTTTCTCTGTTATTGGCAAATCACATAATCATAAAATATTCTGTGTTGGAAGGGACCCACAAGCATCAGAGTCCAGCTCCTGGCCCTGCACAGCACCATCTCCAAGAATCACACCATGTGCCTGAGCATTTTACAAACACTTGAGCTCTGTCAGGCTGGTGCTGTGACCACTTCCCTGGGGAAGCCTGTTCCAGTGCCCAGCTACCCTCTGGGTAAAAAATCTTTTTCTAATATCCAGCCTGAACCTGCCCTGACACAGCTTCAGGCCATTCCCTTAGGTCCTGTCACTGGGCACCACAGGGATGAGGTGTTGCTTATCTCTCTTGCTGACAAAACAAAAACTGGAAGTTGGAAATTTTTGTATTAATTTCTTGTGTTTTATTCATCTACTTGTTCTGACTTTGAGAAAGCCATTTAACTGTCAATTTTCTGCTGCTCCAACTATAGCATGGGGATAATAATCCTGTGCTGTTTCTTTTACTTACTTTGACATTTAGATATTGAAATAAGGTATTCTCCTTGCAGAGGGAAGATTACATAGCAGAAGTATTGTAAATGTCTTCTCACCTCACAACTCAGGGAGCAAATACAATAGAGGTTCTCCAGTACATAGTTCACAAAGAAGGCAGAAAAACACATGAATTCATAGTACATGCCACACAGCACAGCAACCAAAAGCAGTCATTGCTTGCATCTGCTTTTTAGAGCAGATGAATGTTGTAGGACTGTGCTGTCACGTGTTACCAAGACCTTTACCAGACAAATTCTGGAACAAGCTTGATGTTTCAACAATGTTTTAAAGCTCTGATTTAAAAGGAAACAAGAAGGCAAATACACTGTAAAGTATTCCTTACTTAGCTCTTTAACTTACTAGTGTTTATATTCTGTGATTCTCAGTAGTTTTCTTAACTTGTATTAATTAGCTTGTCCTCTATAGAGGATAGAAATATTGAGAAGGTGGCACTCCTATAGCTTTCTTCCATCAGTACTCCAGAATACTCAAGGATACACAGCTTCTCCGAGTGTCTGTTTTGATGTTTGATGGCTGTTGTGGTGATTTTTTTTTTCCCCTCCTGTCATCTATTTGGGATTTTACTTACTGAAACTTTGTCTACTACCTTGTGGCCTATCACTGTGCTTCTCTGAAAGGAGCCTGGTGCCATCTTAGTTATCTGTCTTTTTATTAGCTAATTGAGTAAAGCAGTAGAATTTCTCCCTTTAGTTGTCATACCTTAAGAGTGAACAAATCCAATTTAATGTCATCTGCAGACTTGTTGAAAGTGTATTCGGGTTAATAAAGGTGTTGAACTGTTTCTCCCAGGGTCAGCAATTGGGGGATACCCCCAGTAACCAGCTGCCAGCTGGACTCTGTATCACTCACCACAGCCTTTCCAGTCTGGTGTTTTTTTCCAAGCCTATTGTCTACTTGTCCATATGTTTCCAGTCTGCTCCAAGGACGCTGGAACACAGCAGGCCTTGCTGAAGTCGAGTTCAGTGACATTCTCTGCTGCCACTGGTCTACTAAGCCAGTTGCCTTCATATAGAAAGCTAGGGAATATTTGTGGGTATATTCCCTATAAGCCAGGGTAGCTCCATGATGCAGGTGTTAGCTCTAAGTACCTGCAGTTCTAGCCCTTAGGCAAAACTGGATTTACAGGAGTAAATGGTAGAATGGTATAGATTGGAGGTTGGAAATCAGCTCTATCAAGAATAAGAACACAAAAACTCAGCCCCTCTGGAAGGAAGAGAAAAAAGTACAAGTTGATTTTAAGAGAGTGGAGGAGGTTTTTGACAGCTGCAGATCTTGAACTTTTCCCAACATCTTCAGCCAAGAAAAGTATCTGAGACTAATTTCCTTTCTTGTTGTAATTCAAGGAGTAAAAGAATTTTACCTGCTATGTTTTTATTTAGTTTTTACTGATAAGGTTTTACTGTTTTTGTTTTGTTTTTCTTCTTTTCTTAACTTTACTCTTTTTACATTTTTCAAACTGAATGGCAGTGGACATTGAATCTCTTCCCCTCCAAAAAAAACCCTATCGATAAGGTTGCATTTGTCCTAGTTCACAATTCCAAATACGGTGTGTCTCATTTATGCACCTGTTGCTGTTACTTCATAGCTGAGTTACCCTGCAGTTATTTTGCTGTGTTAGATTTATTTGATGTGCCTGTCTAATTCTGGAGCTTTATGGTCTGCAACTCTGGGTTTTAAATAATTCTGATGTAATTTGTTTGCTCTTGTATTAGTGAAATACAGTTTCATCCCTCATTCTGATATTTTTATTTTGTTATATATACATTATATGAAACTTTTGAAATGTAATTTGTATTGTTAGAAATGCTGGGATTTTTTAGACTTCATCTTGTCTCCCCTTTAAATTAGATGTCACTATGCCATTTCAGTAGCTTTAGGGAGCAGCATAAGTTTTGGAGCAAAAAAGCACCAAAGAGCCAGATTTAGATAAGTGTGTAATGTAGTAACGAAATGTGGCAGCAATGCACTGTGGACAGAGTTCTTGCAGTGGCATGTGTTTTAGGAGGTGGAATTGCCTGTCTTGTTCTGGAGTCAGGGTGTGTGGCACAGAACAAGCTCATGTATCAGTCTGGGGATCAAAGACAAGGCTGGGTACCTTCCTGTCTACTGGTCAAGTTACAAGTGAAATTATTGCCTCCCCTATCTGCTCAAATGTGTGCAGTCAGTAACTACCCTCCAGTGGATTATCTCCTTCCTTCCTAATCCCTGCATGTTGCAGATGCAGTTTTGCCAAGCTCTGTAATCCCACATGTCCTTGTCACAGTTGTCCTGCCAGCCGGACTCGCTGAGCCACTCTCTTTCGTTAATGTGAAATACACAGAAAGGACTTCATGAGCCTTTTAAAAATTGTAATTGCATAAGGTAGTTTTATTAAAAGCTGATTAATATGATTGGGAAGAATGTATTTTTGCAGAATGCCTGTGCATATGTGACATTAAAGAGCATCCAAATAGTCAGATTGTGAAAAGAGTTCTTCAATTTTTATTAAGAAATTAATAAATTTCTGCATATTTTTACATGTAAACGTACAAAAAAGTTACTTAAACTTCTAAAGCACCAGTCTACAAGGATCTTGTTTTCCCTCTTTTGACATTATTCTGATCATTAATGGAATTCAGAACACAGCATTATTTTTTTTTTCAGTTTGGTGTTTTGTTCACTTTAATTATTTGTTTGATGATTTTTTTTTGTTATTTTGATGGTTGTCTTTTTGGTTGTTAAATGGTACCCTTGCTCTTGGGTAGACTAAAGAAACTTTGATTGGTACCACTTTTTAGACACAGCAGAAAAAGTAGCTTAAGAAAGTGCAGTTTATAAGAACATGTCATGCTTACAAAGTGTAACTGTGTGGTGCTCTTTAGATGTGTTATAAATGACTCAGCTGTTTGAAGTATCAATATTAGTGAGTCCTGATGAGATCATGAAGAAGGAACAGCAAAAAAGAAAGTTGTGTGATGAAACTAAGGTGTAGAGAAATTATTTTTTTTCTGAATGTGGGATTCCTTCACTCAAAACACGACAAATGGTCTGAAGCTCAAGACAGATACAGCAGGTCATCTTATAGTGTTACCTTTTGAGACAGGGCTCTTCAGAATTTAGTGGTATTATCTCAGAATTTCTAGTTTTGGCATTCTTGGCAAACTAGAAGTTTCTGCATACAGGTTGTGTGAGTATATATACAAATTTTAGCTCCTTTTTAAAAGCCTGCTAGGGACCTTATAAGCCTGATTATTTTCTGGCATAAATCAGACTGGATAAGGAGTGAATTTGTTTTGCATAGGCATGTGCTTGCTTAATCATTTGGACTGTTAAGCAAGGTATTCTGCCCTTCTGGACTGAGTTTATTTGGAGCAAAGGGACTTTTGAAGCATGTCTGACTATTTTCTTCTCTTTTTTCTTTTCCAGTAGAATTCAAATTATTCTTACTTGAATTAAAATGAGAATTCAGGACAGAATCTTACTTTTATATGTGGTCAATAACCAGTACTACTAACAGTGTAAGAAAAAGTTATTTATCAGTGGAAAACTGTCACTTAAATATATGAAAATCAGTATATATTTCCTTGTACTGCAGTAGGAGCTCTTCATAAGGTGCAAAACTTTTACTTCCAGTTGCATGGGGTGATGTGCGTTGCTT